GGCGAGTAGTGCTGTACGCAACTTGCCCTCTGAAAGAATATAATTTTTGAGTTTGTTCTTTTTGTGAATGTCGCGTGTGTGCGGCAAGTGTTGTAGGTGTTCGCACGGCTTTCTTGCTGTTGCCGGGACCTTCTGATCGAGAGACGAGGCAAGTGACCGCGGGTCCCGTGTCGGTCATTTTTTTTGCTGTCCAACAATGGTTTATCGGTGGAAGTTGTAGCTAGCGGGGTGCCAAGCGGCTGCAATGGCTGTTAGTTGGCAGGAGGGGCGACAGCTAGAAGTCGGGCTTGCTACGGAAAACTGTGTGTGTGTAGCGTAGCTTTGACGGCACGTTTTTTTGTTTCTTGTGCTGTTTGGGATACAAGAGCGGGTATGCATATATTTCAAGAAATTCTCTGCGACTGTTGCGTGAAAAGCCGGTGTGTTTGTGTTTTTCCTATCTTGGGCAGGCGTCGTGGTTGGGACCGACTTCATCGAGACTGCTCGGCTCTGCTGCTGCCGCAAAAGTTGTCCCCTTCTCTGCACAGAACACATGTGCGAGAAAATCGCATATTTAAGGGGTAACTACCCTTCGTTGTTCAGTGTTGTTTTTCCAGCAGGCCACTTGTATCTCGCGTTGCCCCAGGATAAATAATTGCGGGTGGTAACGTTGACATTTGGTGTGCTTGTTTCGCTTTTAGCTTGTACTGGTTGTTGTCTTTGTTTCGTGCACCTTAAAACAAACTTACTATTATTAGTAGAAATGTTCTTTTCTAATCTTTCTCCTCGTCTGCGTTGGCTCTTTTCGACCTTGGCGGTTTTACCGTAGCGCCGACAATGTCGGCGCTGGAACGAACCGTCTCGTCGAGAGCTTTCCGGAAACGTGCAGTATCGTTGTACACCCGCTTCGTCGTGGAGTAACCGAGTTTTAACAATCGGTGCAGGGAGGGTGGTATCTTACGTCACCCACGGCGGTACTCGGCATGGTCCGGAAGACCTCCTCGACACCCGATATCATATTTAGCAGTTTCTGCACGTTCTCTTTCGTGCGGATGGATGCCGGCACTGTGGACAGAAACACCTTCGACGCTATATCAAGGCCAGGCCGTCACTGATGTTGGAATGCATCCAATCCATCCCTTGTTGCAGTTTTCGTCGTTCTTGTCCCATGTACTAACGATCGCTCTCAGCGTAACCTACCCCACGGCCTCACCTCCCTGACTCAACACTTGCAAACAGGGGTCACATGGGGGAGTGAGATGATAGATGCAATACTCTGAGGTGTACACTGTGGACTGCGTTCTCGTGTTCTATTAGCACGGTTGCCTGAGGCAAGCTCCGTTCCCAGTGCGATACTATGCGATGTTAGGCTACGCCTTCCTTGTGTGTTTAACCCAGAAGGGACGGCACACCCGCGCTTGCTTCTCTTAACAGAAGAAATAACCAAAAGGACTGAACGCCCGATGTCCAACGGTACGGTTCGAGCATCCATGAGCGACCCCACCAACGAGAACTTCCTGCCCCATCCAGCCAAGCCGCCGCGATTTTCTCTCAAGGCGACAACTAGTCACTGAATGAACGCTTTTTTTTTTTTTTTAACTACTTGGCACCATCCGTTTGTACACTCTGGGCACCCGACAGCCAAGAGCACCCCCCCCCCCCCCCCGCCCATCTCCCTTTCCGAAGGAATGCAACACTACGGTCTGATTTGACGGCGCCCCCCTCGCCCTCACGACACATCACAATCTTTTAGGCGTCGTCCTGGCGGCACACGCAGCCAACCACAACCTCCTCAGTGTCTGCCCTTAGGATAGCTTAGGATACATGTCACAACCAAACACGCCATCATACCACCGATGACACCATGCGGTTCGGTTACATATCGGTGGCGTCATCGCGACTCGTACGGCGGACATTGCCAGCATTCCAACAGATGATCGCTAGGGTTTCCCAGCCGCGTGTCAGCATACTCTGTAGCACGACATCTTGCACCGTCTCATCGGTTTGGGTGCGCCTCCTGGTGACCATACATGACCCCCTTCGCGACAAATCAAGTTAATGAGGATACTGTATAGAGCAGGGAGGGGGTACGCAGACTCTATCCCTAACCCTAACCCAACTTCCCCCCGATTGCATGCGTTATCCAACATGTTTATACATTGTACTCAACAGGAAAACCCTGGGAAGGCCACTGCAGTGCATATTCTCTACCCTGAATAGCTCACGTCACGTCATCCATTGGACAGACTAATTCCTACCACCACCAACAGATACAGCAGCTCTCTATGCCGTGCGTCGCGATGTTTCTCCGAGTACGTTACCAGAAGACCACTCCTCCGGCCGGGACTCCCAGCAGGGGTAGTAGGGGTGTGCGACTGATCAGAAGAACATGTCGCCGGAACCCCCCGGCGGGCGAAGGTGGTCGTTGTCAGGCCTGCGGGAGAGGGGGAAAAAAAGAACAACAGGGTCAAGTGGCGGCAAGAGATGGCGCAAGGCTGCGTGTAGCTCGTCGGTGTTGTAGGTTTGCTGATGGTACCAAAACATGAGTGGTCTTCCCTCGCCTACGTTCTTCTCCCTTGAACACTCTCTTGTCTTCGAGAAGCATTCCAGACTACAGACCAAATTTTTCTCGTGAGGCTATGCATACATGACAATATTCGTAGAAAAACATGCTGGAAAAGAACGAAAATACAGATACAAGGGGTCCAAAAGGCACTCTTCCGCCGTCAGGTAACGACGCGCTTTTGCACGGCGGTACAACCTGCTTTCGTTTCTGTTCTTGCAAACAGCGAATTCATCTCCATCCACGAACAACGAGCTCAGGACAACCAAAATAGCAAAACGAAGTAAATATTTTGTCTTCTACCCGAACTACTGCTGCAGTGTACCTCTCTACCCTACAACACGAACTGCGCACTACTGTAAACGCCAACTCCCAAAGCTGATTATCCTTCTTACCCGCCAGGCGGTCCACGAGGTCCTCCTTGTGCGGGCCCCCCTCTCCCACCCCCACCCCTCCCCGGGACGCCGGGGCCCCACGGCTGCTGGCCTGGAATCGGCGGCCCGTATGGGTCGAACCGCGGCTCCATGTAGCCAGCCCTGCGATTTTTGTTTCCAAGTCGTGTGAAAGAAAAAAACGAAAAAAACACGGCACCAAATAGACGTGATTGACACGACGACCAAACTGGGTCTTCGTATTTCGCTCGACAGATTGTGCAGGGTGCTCGGGAACACCCTGGCAAGGTTTAACGAGTCGTGGACCGACGAGGTCCCGCGGAATCAACCGGGCAGGTGCACAGGCACCGCTTCTACCAACCACTGGCTTCCGGTCATGTCATCATCAACAAACCCGCGACAACGACAAACGCAACAACAACCTCCGCCATCAACGCACCCTCCGCCTCCGCCGAACATCGGGTGCCCGGGGCCAAGCAGCCCCCCCGGTCCTGGAAGCCCACCACCTCCACCACCAGCAGGACCACCGACACCGCTAGGAAACAGATCACCGCCAAAATCGCCGCCTCTCCCAGGGAGGAACGGGGTGGGGCCGACGCCGGGGGGGCCCGCGAACCTGGATATCGGTGTATTTAGGGGGGGGGGGGCGGGGGGTGACGTGTATGTAGCTGTGGGACAAGCACACGATGTATTGAAGGTAAAAGGCAACAAACATGCGTCCAGCATGCAGAGGGTGTTGTGCAACCTAGTGGTAAAGAAGGGTCAAACGGCAGCGACGTCAACTCCTGGCCCTGATCATGCAAACTTCATCAGGGCGTAATTCGATCACGGAGGCATGGGCCAAGCAGTTGGGGGCCTACGGTATATGGGTAAAATCGAGATTGACCGCCTTGGACGGCGGTCCCCGTACAGCAAACAGCAAACATCAAACAGCGAACAACAGTAGTCGTGTGATACTGTGCTGAGAAGGCCAGTGGGGTGGCAACGGGCGGTGGTGTAATCTTGTACTTAAACGCATGCCGTATTCGATAGACTATTGACGTCGCATCCTTACAATGACGGGACGGGGCGATACTGTACGCCGAGTTTTCGCCGGCCCAGGCTAGTGCTGTACGTTTCACAAGGATGACCCAGAAGCTGAAAGTGTCATCATACTTGTGTTTGCTGCGCCAAGCAAGACATGCCAAGCGTTGATTGGGCATCCCCGCAAACCACACATTTCACATTCGGCAGGCACAACGACATATACTTCGATCATTGGGAGCTTGTACCACACAACAGGCGCGCCACACACAGCGAACACGTCACTTCGTGCATGATAGTACACTTTGTGGCAAAGGGGGTGGGGAGGGGGGGGGGAGTGTACTCATATTTTGGATGCCTCAGCGGTTAGACCATTGACCACGCGTCATCGAGAGTACCGAGCATTGTTCCCACAGGACTTATCTCCGACAGCCAATCGTTCCAATCTACTTGCCAAAGGCGACACAACAATGTTTTCCCCAGCCTATCTAGAGCGGGGGGGGGAGGGGTCAAACATACGGCGTAGACCCCCCAACAAAATCTCTCTCTACAGTACCTCGGAGGGCCAACCCTGAGTGGATCGTCGTCTTCAGCAGCAGTGCCCGGTATCGCCGGCCGGGGTTTCCCAGACGTGGACGGCGAAAAATTCCGGTCGGGGGCGGGGACGGTTTCGCCCCCCGCCGGTTGCGGCGGCGGTGCGACAACCGGAGGCGCGATGTGGGCCAGGACTTCCCGGCGGAAAACGGAGAAGAGCGTCTGCTCGGGCGCAAGCGGTGCACACAGAAAAAGCAAGTAGGGGGGGGGTTGGGCTCTGGAAGGACGACCTTCGCGATAATTTACGTTTACTCTACTGGTACGAAATAGAGAAGGGGGGGTTCGCATCCCTCACCGTAACCCTGCCCTGCAACACCACCCCGTCCCACTAAAACTACGATTAAATGTCCTCGTGAAGGCTACTGCTTTGGAAGCGGTGAGGGAAGGGATGCCAGTCGTTTCAGCCACGTCACCACCAAGAATGGGCTGCTGATTCATACTCACAGGTGTTCCTGGAAACCAGGTATGTAAGCAATCACAACCGCTGACACGAATGATGGCCTTGCCCCACCGCCGTTTTGGGGCACCGTGTCTGAAAAAGGTCATCACCCTCGCCCCCGACATACACAAGAGCTCTGAACACGAAGACTGGACCCTGTCGTCGTCCAACCTCTGCCGCATTCCCTTCTGCTGGAGGAGTCCCCCAACGAGTAGGGGGCGTTTTCGACTTATTATCCCGCTTTTAAACATCTGGCTTCGTTCTCATTGGTCAGACGAAAATGTAGATGCGGCCGAACAGTAACTAAAATGAACCGCACGCCCGCACACACGCTTCTGTCGTTATTCCCGACAGTAGCTCAGCCCCACCCTCATGGGGTCCCAGATCATAGCCTTTTGAATCATTTTCTCTATTCAGTCGCGCTAAGTATGACGCAGTTTCGTTGGCCAGCCGGCCATCGCAGTCGACGCTAATAACAAAGACATACACACACACAAAACACCTACCTCGAAAAAGCCCTCCGATTCAAAGAACTTCGGCCCGCACCGCTCCAGGGGCTCGAGATCAACATCCGCCGACTGTATCTCCCCGCCCTTCTCCCCGAGGAAGAACTGCGCCGGACCCCCCCCTGCGACGGCCTTGAAGAGGTACACCTTTCCTGTGCGGTCTGGGCGGCGGTAACGGAAGGATACCGCTGACGGGTCTGCGTCCCTGTTCGAGCCAAGCCGAGTGCAAGAGAGAGAGAGTGGTTTGCGTGGTACCGAAGGGCCGTGCGGGGCGCCGCAGCGTAAGGTAAGCGTGCGTACGGGACGCACGGTAGTAGATTTGATGGCGGCGGTACGAGAGGGGGGGGCAGGGGGGTCGGAGGCGGGGTAAGAATGGACTGGATATCCATGCATGGCCATCAGAAGGCGTTGTCGTGGGCATGCCGTTGGAAACAAAACTTTCAGCAAGTCCGGTGATACGGAAAGAGCTGGGGGTGTTTACTTTCAATGCGAACCGCGGAGCGCTGTTGCTACTGCTGTGGTTGCTAAGGGGCACGCTCTCGCACCCTGGAACCGGGCACGAACAGATAGGGGAGTGGGAGGAGGGGGACGTGCTCATGTTTTTCGTTTTGCATGCCTTTGCGGTTAGACCATTGACCACGCGTCCTCGAGAGGACGGAGCAGGGCGGGGGAGGGGGGAGTGCTCATAGTCGTGCATGCCGTAGTCGTTTGACCATTGACCTCGCATCCCTACAAACCCGGGATGGAGCACGCCGGGTTCTCACCGGACCAGCAGCAGGGCGGGGGAGGGGGGGTTCCCTGTCTAGATACATGTAACCACTTCTTCCAAGTATATACAGTAGGGTGTAGTGTGGTGTGGTGTGGCGGATGGATCAAGTAACGGCTTCTCACCAGCGGTCGGGCACGAGCTTCTCTTGAGGGACGTCCCTCACGGGGGCCGCGAAGCCCTTGATGGCTCCCGCCTTGTCGTCCTGCCCGGTGCACACGAACCCTTCCGTTACCAGAAGGCAGTGCAGGGCCAGCGCCGAGGCGTGCAGGGCGGACTTCGGAGTCACCCGGGCTTGGTAGGCCTATTCATGTTGGGGGGGGTTAAGGTGTAGCACACAACATCAAACATCACAGCCGGCAGATATGGCGTGCGAGCGGACTTGAGTGTCACGCGGGCTCAGCACGCCTATTGACGGAGGGGGGGCGGGAGGGGCGGAGATGGGGGGTTCAGGTGTGCCTACAACGTCAACCAAAACTCATAGCCAGGAAATGTGTCGCGAGGAGGTGGTATCCTTACCAAGCAGGTTGTCGCGGCAGCAAGTGTTTCGATACCGCAAGCAACGACTTCATTCAAGGAGAGGACACAGCATCATACCGTCGAGGGCTCCATATTTTTTGTTCTTGTTTTCCATCACTTTGAATCAGCGCTTACAGCATTTCTGCCGAGGACTCCATGGAGAGCGAAATAAGCCAATAGGAGACGGTTCAAACCTTTGCCTTCGCCACCTCAAGCACTGCTGCGTGTGAGTGCATGTATTGCGCGACAAAGCAGGGCAAGCCGCTCTTTTGACTTAACCCAACCCCCCGCCATCATCGAGCCTGGACTGACAGCAGTGCGAATCAGCAAGGCAGAGGAAAAGCAGGGCAAGGAAAGCAAGCAAGTGGTCCTGGCGAAAAAACACACCTTGCTGAGGACGACTCCCGTCCCCGAATCGCTAGGCGTGAAGCTTCCCTCTCCTCCGGCTGCCGATCCTGATGCCGACGTCGCCTGTGGAAGGGGGTCATTATCATCAGCATCATCAGCACCAGCAGGATCAGCATGATGTTCATCAACAACATCAACATCAGCGACAACAACAACAGCAACAGCAAAAACGGCGGTTAGAAAGATGGCGGGTGCCAAGGGGGTGTGCGCGCGTGTGTGTCTCTCTTCTCGTCTTCGTCTCCCACCGCGTGACTTGTCTTATCAATCTGGCTGTCTCTGTCTCTCTGTGTAACGGTGTGTGGGTCTCTCTCTCTCTCTCTCTTTCTCTCTCTCTCTCTCTCTCTCTCTCTCTCCTCTCCCACCATGTGATTTGTCTTATCTGTCTATCTATCAATCAATCTATCTATCTACTTGTCAAATCAATCTATCTATCTGTCACCCTCACCGTCATCGCCGGTACCGCTCGGACTCCTCCCTGCTCTGCGCCACCACCACCACCACCACCGGCACTACCACCGCTGCTGGACCGTAGGTGCCCCCAAAGCTGAGATTGCACCTCAGTGTCGATCCCCTGGAGCGCCTCCTCAAGCCGCCGCTTCACTAGCCCCGGCGGCAACCGGGAAACAGAGGCACTGGCGGTTTCAAGGTGCCCCCTCGAGGCCTCCAGCTCTGCGATGACAGGGGGGCCACCGGTGGTGAAAGGGGCGGGTTGGATGTTGTTGTTGTTGCTGTTGTTGGGGTTCTTTCAAGTGAGAACATGGTGAGTGGCGATGCGTACCTGCCGGAAACTTGATGGCCTACCATGCAGCTTGGGTTGGTGAAATAATTGTTAAAAAAAATGTTTACGTTCGCGCGCCAATGAGCGGACAGCAAGTTTAGGGAAACCTGCCTCGAGAGTCAGTCTTGTCTACAAACTTGCACCATTTCTTGCGCTCGAAATCAACATGCTTATTTAGAAGCAACCTGTGCAGTAAGTCGGGGCTCTGAACGCTTTGCGCGGACGGAGAATGCCAACACGTGTGGCAAGTTTGGCCCCCCCTGGAGTGTGCTCTGTCATCTGATCTATAGAAAGTCTAATGGTTTGATTTCGGCTTCTATAGATCCCGCTGAAATCGACGGTTTTTTGTGTCTATACATTGACCTCGATTCGCGGATGGAGAATACCAACACGCGTGGCAATTTTGCCCCCCCCCTGGAATGTGCTCTGTCACCTGATCCCGCTGTAGATATACTGCTCATTGTGCCTAAAGTACAACCATCGTCGAGGTGCGCGTGTACTGCATGTGCCAGTGTCAAAGGTACGTTGGATACACACACCGTTTTGACCTGACAGCGCAGCAAGAGAGAAGCAGCGAGGACATCCAAAGGATCGCGGCTCACTGCTGCTGCTACTGCAGGACAGGCAGGCAGGCACACAACGGCCACAAACGAAAACTTTGTCGCAGCAGTCGTTTCACGCCACCCTATCCCTAAACCCTAAAATTGCAACCTTTCTCCTGCCCTCGATCATGTTCCGCCCCACCATCAGCGAAGAACGACGAACATAGGCCGCGCTCGAGATTGCACCCGAGCGCTTGGGGGCTTTCTGTTTATGTAGGGGCGTACACAGCGTCGACACAGCTTTAGGTTCGAAGAGATACCAGAGGGGGGGGGCGTGATGGGATAAGTCCGGACACCAACAGCCTGAGAAGAACACACGCAGCAGCCGTTCAGCGACGGCTGGGCACACACGAACGGACCATACCTTCGTTGCCCTTGCTCGACACAACTCAAGCGTTTCCTTCGGCTGCTGGATGTTATGATGCTATGTCTATCGGGGATCAGTTGCTGGCACGCGCGCAGCCGTGTGACGTTTTGCGAAAGCCCCCAACAAACGGCGTGTGTTCGAAACAAGTGGTCGCTCAAGCTCTGAGACATTCCACGTTCAGGACCGGTCCCAGGAACGCTGCTCAAGTTACCGTGTTACACATCACGTTACGACTTCAATTTCAACAGCGATACGATCAGACACGAGCAGAGCCATCACACGGAGGTGCTACAATAACAGGATTTAGTGCACGCCTCTCCCCTGCCATCGCGTGTCAACTGCCGACGTGTCAATGAGTCAATACCAGAGTCATCAAGGAGCCAGCAGGGACAATCTCCGCAACCCTACTAAAAAAATAACTTCATACAGCGAACTATACTTCATCATGGCATAGAACCACGCCGTTCCCATACCTTCAGCGGAGAGCAATGGAGATGACGACTCAGCCATCTTGAACTAGCGTCTCGTCACGTTGCGTGGCAGGGACTGCTGTGTCTGGTATTTGAGCCGCTGAAAGTGCAAGTGTGGTGTTTGAGTTTGGCGAGGGGGGCTCAAGATTGTCTCACCAATTTTCGCGCGATACTGCTTTACGGCGTGGATTCCCAGCTGCGTGTTCATTTTGAGTAAGAAGAGAGACAGGAGACAGGAGACGCACGTTCGTCACACGCATCTTACATCGCACGTAACGGAAATTAAACCCAGCTCGCGCGTCCGCTTATGTTCGGCGCTGCTGTGCGCAGTGGGAAGGCCGCGATGCGGCTCACGAGACCGGACGACACAGACTACCAGGCCATGCTGGACGGAGAGGCAGGAGTAGTAGAGCCTCACCAGCAGCAGGCATCGATAATCCGCCGCAATGATGCAGCAGCAGCAGCAGCGGCCTCCTCTGCTGCTGGCGGACCGGCGGACCCAGCAGCAGCAGACGGGGCGGGGGCGGATAAGGGGAGGAAGTCGAAGCTCTACAGCGTGGCCGGGTACATCATCGTGACGGAGTTCTGCGAGAGGCTCGCGTACTACGGCTTCTCAGGTAGCCCGCTTCTTGTGTGTTCGTGTTCGTTTGCGCGCGGCGACACGGCCCACAACACACATTTTTCTTTATTTATTTCTCGGGTGCACTCGTGGGTGTGACTCGAGACTCGAGACCGCCAGGGGGGCTCTACTGCCGTAGCTAGAGGTCGACGATCAAGTGCTGCCTGCTGTTGGCGTTGTTGTTCAACAGCAACAAGGGTATGCATATGAATGTGAAATAGCGAACACACAGATCTCTTTTTTTTTTGTCTCTCTTGTTTGCAGTACAAGTAAAACGGCGGTTCGAAGGCAAACACGTCTCTGCTGCTTGTAGTGTCACAAACCAGCACGTGTAAACAACAACAACACATTTTTTGCGCTGGTCATGACATATGAAAGCATTCTGATAGACAAATGTGTTTCTCGTCAACCCATCCTCGTTTGCAAAGCCGAGGAACCACTCACATGCTGTACCTACACGGCTTGATGAGGGTACGCATGGCGTTTGGCAAGTTGAGGTTCACAGAACCCGTGTTTTTTCGAATTCAAATTCTGATTCTTTGGGCCCTTCACCTGCGCATCAATCACATTCAGCAGTAGCATATGCATACGAACACCAGTTCGTTGACATCAATAACCCGCACACAATGCTTGAGCGCACAAATCCGTACATGCATCTCACGCACAACCCATGGACATGCATGCAAGCCGTGTAAGATCGTCATCTTCCGCGCACAGCCCACTCGCCTCAACATACATACCGTATGCGACACAAGATAACACACCCCCTGGACCGATTTTCAAAGCTCGATTACGCCACGAAGAACATGCGTAAACGAAACGATACATTTTCGGAAAGCTCTCGACAAGGCGGCTTCGACGATGTCGTTTTCGGCCCTGTGAATCTCTCTGCTGTCGACAAATCGAGCTTTGAAAATCGGTCCAGGGGGTGTGTCATCTTGTGTCGTATACGGTATGCCACTAATGCCAATGCGTCGTGCTGTCGCTTGGCATCAGACGTATGCAGCAGTACTGCTGTAACCGTGTTTTGTTTTGGTTTTCTTCCCGAGCACGGGGCTGTCTGGCCAGTCTGGAGCGGAAGTCTGTAGCTATTTTCTGTTACAGCAGCAGATACATACACTGGACGACTAGACTACAATGTACCCGTTGGAAATATTCGACACCAGTCTATCCATGTCGAAGGCAGTGTTGCAGTCTCCAACAGCAGTACAATATAATGCTAGTGAGTTTGGAAAGAAACCCGTTGGATAGACGTATGCATACTTTCAAGCAGCATGCACACGTGACAGCAGCAGTACAATATTGAACCGCCTTCGCGCGATTAATGAGTTGATGGGGATAGAGAACAGTTAGGGGGGACGCAGACCGTATCCCTAACCCTGAGCCAACTTCCCCTATTGTATGTTTTATCCATCATCTTTACATGCTACGAAAAACCCTCCTAAAGTTTCTGTTATATATTTCATATTTCGTATCATTTGTGATGACTTTTTATTTCCGAACGGTGCACCTTTTGGGTGTTCGTTGACCTGCTGTGACCACGGTAAGGTCTCCGCGTGTCGTCTGGACGTGAAGACAACAACGGCACCAACTCACAACATCGTTCGAGTTGGGCACCAGTCTACGTATACCTCGGCGTATGTTTTTTTTTTTTTTCTCTCCTAACCAAGTCTGGACACTTGTACAGGGTCCCTTGTGCTACTCTTCGAGAAGGAGCTCGGGTACACCAACGCTGAGTCCGACACCCAGTTCGCCCTCTGGTCCGGCGTGTGCTACGTCATGCCCCTGTTCGGCGGCTGGATCGCCGATAGCTACCTGGGTGAGTCAGCCGAATCGCAGAGTTCTCTACGTACTGGTAGGCGCTGAACGCAGTTTTTATGATGCTGGTCGTTCGGCTCTCGCTATTCGCGTGACATCGGGAGCAAGTATGTCGCCACTTTTCAGCAAGAAGAATAACTTGAGGATTCTGACTTAAGCGGCGTTCAGTTTATGCATACCTTTTCCCGTTTTGGGAGGGATGCGGGGTCAACGGTTTCACACCCTGGACAATAGACCATGAATGTTCTATTGTTGCAACAATAGATCGCGGGGAGAAATATCGACAACCATTATCAGCTACAATAGATATCAGGAGGTTCCATTGACATACATTATCATCGACAATAGAAATTGCAAAAGTAATGTCAATGTCTATTGCTATCGACAATGGCCTGAAGGAGCTTCTATCGATGTCCATGGCGAGCAATAATGGGCTATAGGGGTTTCTTTCAATGCCCATTGCGAATAACAATGGGCTAAGGGAGTTTCTATCGATGTCCACTGCAAACGACAATGGACTGAAGGAGTTTCTATCAATGTCCACTGCAAGCAGCAATGGGCTGGAGGGGTTTCTTTCAATGCCCATTGCGAACAACAATGGACTCAAGGAGTTTCTATCGATGTCCACTGCAAACGACAATGGACTGGAGGGGTTTCTATCGATGCCGATTGCGAACAACAATGGACTCAAGGAGTTTCTATCGATGTCCACTGCAAACGACAATGGACTCATGGAGTTTCTATCGATGTCCACTGCAAACGACAATGGACTGAAGGAGTTTCTATCAATGTCCACTGCAGGCAACAATGGGCTAGAGGGGTTTCTATCGATGCCAGCGACAATGTCGGTTGCGGCATTTAATGGTCTGGAGTATGCCATAGAACAGCAGTGCACAAGCTGGGCTACACAGCAGCAGTTTTCCACACCCTGGACAAGACACCATCATCGACACATGGTTTCGTAACGTACTCTCGCGTGTATTAATCGATTCTCTCGTTGCAACTTAGCCACATGACTTGTGGCTGCTGCTGCTGTACCGACCAAGTACCCTGGTCATTTGGCAACGCGCTTCGCCCCACTCGACGCCGTTCGCAGCAACAAAGAGGTCGAAAAAAATCGTTAATCGCTTTGATCTCTGGGCTACACACTTCTCCGGCTGCCCAACGCATCCCATCTCTGCACCTCTCGGGGGCGGGGGGGGAATCGTTTCGCAACCCTGGAGAAATACCCCCCGCACGGTTGTGATGTAGTTGATACTGTTGCCAGCCATAGTTTCTCTACAAGCCGTCGGTCGGCTCGTCGATCACTACGGGCTCCGGGACAAAGTCCATCACGACGACTTCATCCAGCATTCCCTTGTCTGTGAAACGAGTCGGTAGGGCGGCCTCCAACTCGGGCTCGGTCATCTGCGGGATGTCTTTCGGGATGTTGTCGAACTGGCCTCGAAGGTACGTGACCATCTCAAGGTAGACGGGGCCGAGACTGCCGCGCTTGCGCGGTTGGTACAGGTCGGTGATGCAGAAGTCGCGCTCCATGATGCCCGCAGAGGAAGGGGCACCGAACACCGCCTGGGCCAGGGCCCGAAGGGCGGACGGCCATTGCTTGCCGTGAGCCCGCCAGTACTCAACGCCGCTCAGCTGCTTGTCTTCCTTGCTGAACTGCAACGCAAAATGGAAAATAGACGTGGGGGAGTACGGCGAGGGTCAAAATTGATGATGAGGTGTCGTTGTGAGAGCGAAGTTGTATTGCCATGCATGCATCGAGGTGGGGTGATTCATCCTCCCACCAGTGAAAACTTGAAAAACTTGCTGGTATCGTAACTCCTGGCTTGTACACGGATGTTGTTCAATACAAACACACCAAATACTGGATCTAGTACACTCCAACCGCGAAACGTTGTGGTGTGTGCGCAGTCAACCCTTTCCGAAGAAAGAACACACTCAGCTACGAGAACAACTGCAATCTAATACAGAAACCCCGCACCTTGAAGACACGCCACTTGGTGAGGATGCCGTCGGCTTCCTGTTCAGGAGTGTTGGTGTGGTTGCTCGCGGGTTCCGCGTCTTCGTCGCTGCTGGAGTCGAGGACTCCCTCTTGCGCGAATTCCGCTTGGCGCGGATCGACGGCGACGCTGCCAGCGGTTTTCACCGCTTCGCCCTCGGCTCGGGTTCCACCACGACGGGAGTCTTCTTTTCCTGTTCTCTGATGAAGGCGATGCCTTTGGCCAGAAGGTCGCGTGCTTGGTTCCTGATCACCTGCTTGACCTTGTCCGGCTCCTTGAACCCTCCCATCTGTCCGACGGTAGATGCTTCGAGAGTGTCGATGTACTTCATACCTCGCGCCGAGGGACAGAGGAACATCGCCATGTCGAAACGGTGACTGTGGGTCCCAAGCCCGCTGCCGTAGCGCCCCTTCACAAACCGTTTCGCAACGGCCTCTGCAAAAGCCTCGCGAGTAGCCATCGCGACCTTCGTGAGGTCTGTGTGAGGTCGAGTCGAAGCCGCAGGCACTTCGTCCTCCTTCTGCCCGATCGCCCGAACGGGCGTCACCGTCAGCGGGCGCATCGGCTCGAGGGTGGAGGTCGCGAGGACAACGAGTCGCTGTAGCCCACCCTGCGCGGTTGATTCGTAGGTAATCTGGCTGTAGACGACGACTGCCTTCACGCCGTTGATGATCGTGTACACCTCCTCAACCTGAAATCAGAATAACAGCAGTGGGTGGACGGGCAATACACGTGGTCGTTAGCTAACTCTGGAACAAGACACAACGTTCAAACCACACAGAGGGAGGAGGGAAGGGGACGGGAGCGGGGAGCGTACCGATTTGTTGCACTTATGGTACAATTGTGACCGTTGACCACCCGCACATCAACGAGGAAGGAAACAGCCCGGGATATTCCTATTGGAACACCCTCGCATCGCGTATGTTTGCACCCATTTGCACCTACTTGCGTTCATTTTTCGGAGGCAGACTGACCAGGAGAAACACACATTACGATACACCTTGATAGAACAATATGTCGAGCTTGGCCAGCTGTCAAACGCACAACAGCAGGATACACAATCCACAGGGCGCATTCGGAGGGCCACTAAAGACCCGCGAGTCAACATGCTTCAGGCACTACGATTTCTGCATTCCAGGGAGCGAGCCAAAAACTTGGTGCAAAAGTACCCCGCTTTGCTCACAACAAAGCATGGTGAGGCATATGCGAACCCTAAGCTAGAACAAACACGGCCGCCAAATGAAGCGTACTAACAGCGTAGGGTTTTGGTCCGGGAGGGGCAGCGCCAGAACGTCGGGTAACATGGATATGGTACAGCATACCAATGATGGCTCTACAGACGTATATATTTAGACCACATACTGATGGCTCTATCGACGTATATCGTTAGGTGTATTTCTTCGTCGTGCATCCCCACACTAACGATAACACAACAAAAAACAGAATGGCGCCCAAGAGGTGATTGACAGCACGGGGGACGTGATGCGCAAAAACGTAGTCAACATACCTCCTTTTTCCTGCTCCTCAAGGGGAACTCCTTGTCGCTGTCGAGGTAGAACTTCTTGAGGGCATCCCACCTCTCCAGGACTCGCAGTAGCATCCTGCAGATCCTGATCCAGCGCTGCGCAACGGCTTGCGACAGCTTTGCGGTTGACCCCTTCCCTTGGGACATCTCGTCGATGATTTCCTCCAGGGCGATCTGCAACCCCGGGATTGAAAACCAAAAGGTCAGAGAAGTCAAACGAAGAACATGTTGCTACGCATCAATGAATCGCGTGCTCAGCGGATGATACGTCAACTTATATTTGGGCAGTTCATGAACTAACTAATGCGGTTGGTGTGCGCACGACAACGAACGTGTACGGGTGGCAGAAGGCACCAACATGCGAGGTATATAGGAATGGGCGCATTTGGGCGGCATCTCCGCAGGTGGGGAGCTTATTCCCTTATTTCTCTATGAAACACACCAGATTCCAACCCCACGGGAAGATCTGCGAAAGAAACTGTTGACACTCTACGTGTTCGTTGATGTTGCCTGACAGACATGCAGAAGCGATCAAAAGGATAAATCAGGCAGGATGCAAAACACGAAAAGAAAAACCTCGACCATTGCCTGTAATTGCGCTAGTTACAGGAAGAGGGACTGCCCGTCCCCTCCGGCTACCTTAGACAGGCAGGGAGGGCGTCATTCTTCTAATTGTTACTTCAGGCGCGCATTTCCCGGCTGCCCCAATGTATTCTCATAGAGTCGAGACTATTTTCGACGGCGAGGCCTGCCACCTCATAATCTTGGCGATTACTATGCACGACACACGGAACCATCCGCAAGAGTTGGAATTCGAGTACACAGCAGTTTGGGAAGGATACACGGTAGCTAACCTTGTCGGCGGCGGACTTGTTGAAGTGTCCAACTATCCCCTTGATCAGTTCGAGCAAGTCGCGACAGAGGGGGTTCTTCGACTTTTCCTTGACCTGCGTCATGCCCGTTCCGTCGATAGTAGCACGGTTGAGAGCATGCGGCAGGCACCACTCCCAAGGCCACGCCTGCGACACGCCTTTCCGGACGTCAGATCCGGCATCCGTCACCGCACCGGCGATGTCCTCGTCTCGGATACCATGCTGTCCTAGCACTTGGCGCACCCACTTGCACACCACGTCGCCGGTTTGCGCCCCCGGAGGTCGAAATCCCCTGATAGCGAGGAGATGTGTCTTGACGTTCATCTTCTCGTCGAGGTAGAACACGCGGACACCTGAGGAAATACGATATCGTGTATATCAACCACGATCGCCGTTAGAGCATGATTGCCAATGATGGATGAGAGTCTGAATAACGGCGAAGGCTCGGATCTTGCAACACATTCGTACAACGAGCATGGAACGACCTAATGCAAACTCCTACAGTCATTCCCGCTTAAAGACACACGGAAAGTTTCTGTAAAATTCCGGGGATGATAACTTACCATCCCCGGGGTCAACGGAGGCGTACCATACTTCAAAAGACGCGCAATTGCAGCAGGGACACTAACCCGAAGCGAAAACAACGTGGTGGTGGATTAAAGCTGTGCGTACATAGTTGCAACAGCGCTGTCAATGATTTTGCACGTTGTCATTTTTGTTGTGGTTTTTTTCTCTGTTGCTTTGGCGTCGTCCCCAAGTGCAAAACCTTGCCGATATGCATATATATCATCACCAACCCCCCCAAAAAGTAGAAAGACAACCATCGTTGCAACCCCGATACGATCCTGTACACCGCCTGCGCCACCGGCTACATTCCAAACAGGAAAGGAGCAAAACTGTACCTGAAACGAAACTACAATTATTGTCGGAGCACCCACAACGCAATTAAAAAATAATGTAAGAGTAATTTGCGGCAAAAGAGAAGAGTCCATCGCTCCTGCCCAGAGGTCGAAATCAGGAACACGAAGAAAGCATTACAAGCCAAGCATGATTTCACGAAAACGGATCGAATACCCACACAAAGCAGTAGCGGCAGCAGCCGCAGCCACAGCAGCAGCAGCAGATCGCTGTGCCGTACAGTTTGAAAGGTGTTCTGCAGCATCATCTCGGGGGTCCTGCATGCTGAAAAAAGTACCCCCTGTTCTGTATATCTGCAGGGCACCCTGCTAACATTTTGTGTCTTTCAAGCGGGGTCGACTACTGTTCCCCCGCCCCTTTCAAAAAAAATTACCGGGTCGCAACTCGGAACTCGAAAACTTTCCACGTCAATGCTGTCAAAAGCCGGGGGGGACGGGTATAAAAATAGATGAGTCTAACCTCGGCAACCTTACCGATGTACTTGAGGCCGGAGACATGGCTCGTCCACAGGTCGCAGTTCACGTAGAGGATAGGGATAGTGGCGTTGCGCAGAGTCTTCTGCATGGACGCGTTGAACTCCTGGGTCGTAGCATGATACATCTCCGCGATCACCTTCTTCACCTGCAACGTGTACGCCAAGTATGTAGAATGGACGAACAAGTGAATATTTGGTTGGTCCATCTCCACGTTGAGGAACATCATGGCCGAATAATAACAACACTAACACGACAGAACCTAAAGGACTAGAGTGCTAGTGTTAAAGACAAGCATTATATTCCATCCAACGGTCATCGGTACGTTACGCTTGCCCCCGTCGAAGCTTTTCAACTCATAAGACTACACTTTGGGGCAAAAAGTAGGTTGGGGTGGACGCTGATGAGCACATTCTAATTTCCTATACTAAGTCAAAGGCCACGGCAATCGCCAGTCGATGGGTTAGGGGAACAAAAAACGAGCGTGGTTGAGATTCAAAGGTCTATTGCCAAGGGGAATAAATAGGCATTATGGATGAACGAGAACGCCGTTGTAGCCATGAAGGGATCAATCTATGTAATATCTATCGACAGACAGCCTGCACAATCTATTGTTGTCGACGACAGATTTCAGAAGACCGCCGGGTAACTCAGTGTTGCGCAACAATGTCTATCGAACACGGCCGGCCAATTCTGTTGTTTTCAACAACGTCTATCTACATCTTCGCAGCCGAATATATTGTCACCAACAATGTCTATTAGAAGAGAGCCATGAAATATGGCGTAGCGAACGGCATCTATTGGAAGATGGCGGACGAAAAGTGCTATTGCCAACAATGTACATGTCATATGACAAGTCCTTATCTATGGTTGCCAACAATGCCTATCGGAACCATTCCTGCAGAAGATGCTGTTCCCAACAGTGCCTATTGAAAGAAATCATTTCAACTTTATTGTAGCGACAAAGTCTATGGGAAGATTCATCGGAATTCTATTGTTGCCAGCGGCATCATACGATAGACAGCCCGGGGACGCTCTTGCAGCTAGCAATTTCTATTGCTACCCACATTTTCGGGGTTCCTGTAACGGCAATGTTCTATTGGTGGTCTATTGTCCAAGGTATAAGCAAAGCTTACTGGCACCCGTCGCGCACCCATCCAAAACAGGTGCACACAAGGAGTAAACACCCACCACGCGACACGCCTACTACGAAGTGCTTCTACAAGCCCCCACATCATGTGCTCACCGCCTTATTGTTGATACCGGTGACGTCGAAGTCCTTGTTCAGGAGTGAGTACAACCGGCGTACGGATGAGCGCTCAACCCGGTTAAAAGGTTCAGCCGAATCAATGGGGTACGCCTTGACGTACTCCTGGACGATGAAGCGCTGCGGATCGGTCCGAAACAGCTTGCTGTTTCGGGCAGCTTCAAGCTCGTCGTAGGTCTCCACTGCCCTAAGAACCACCACACACACCGGAAAAAAGAAATGGACAAGTGCGCCAACGGTCACAAACATAAATCAAACCGACGTGCACGATTTCACATTGGCAACACGAAGATGCCAGTCAAGATGCAAACTAGCACACTAGGGCAAGAAGAGGAGCCTATTTCACTGCTGTTGGTCCATGCACCACTGGTTGGTACTCCGCAAACAACACAACGCAGCGCCATTTCATCCTACAAACTATCGACGAACAGAGAAGAAAATCTCACGTAAAAAAGAAAAAAACGTATTCCATCCAACAGGCAACGGGTAAAAGACGCTCGTTGAGCCCATCACCATATGTGCCTGTGTCCATGAGGTTACAGCAGCAGTAGATCACACTCACTTTGCTTCGGCAGTCTTCGTCTTGCCACTCTTGATACCGTGGGTCTGAGCCAAATGATTCGTGGCGCTTGATGTCTGCTTGTTGTTGATTTTGAGGGTCTTGGACATGTTGCGGCAGTGATCATCGGCCATGCACATGAAGAGCTGGGGCCTCTCCAGCGGCTTTCCCTTGTTGTCCGTGGGCCAATCTTCCTTGGCTACCGTTTCCAACCTCACACCCCAGTGGTGGATGACGCTGGTGCTACGGGGGTGAACCTTTGCTCGGAAATGGCCGTCCTTCGGGGTGTAGTTGTTGATGGCGGTTTGAACGGCACTGGGCACATCCTCCGGAAAATCGATTGTGCTTGCTGTCCTAGGACTACCGCTGCTGCCACCGCTGCCGCTGCCGCTGCCCCTGCCGCTGCCGCTACTCCGAACCTCGAATATCGGCGCGAGTTGTGGTTCTGGAGGAGCACCATCAGC